AGGTCTTTTGTCTCCTCCGCTGTCTTCAGCCTGAAGTGAAGCACTTTCCCTCCCCAGGGGAGGCAGCAGCTTGGCCTCTGCTGGCTCAGGGGCCTGCCCATCAGGGCGGGATGATTGTCCAGGTTCTGCCTGCCTTAGCCATGGGTGAGAAGTAAGGAATATTTGAGGGGAGGGCTTCTCACTCCTGCCTTATGCCTGCAGGGGGGCCCTGCTCTGTGGTGCACGTACCCATAGTCACCCTGACCAGCAGTCAGCCTGATTCTTATGCCAACAGGTGCTGGAAGCCTGTGAGATGCTGGCAGCCAGGTGCCTCACTGTTATGCAGCTGCCCTGGATCCTGCATTCCTTCCTGTTACCCCTTACACTCTGCCTTAGCACCTCATGTTCCTCTAGTCAGGAATTCCTTCCCCCTTCTGCCCCACCCTGTGGAGCTACCTCCGCACCAGCCCTCTGGGCCTGAGGGCTGAGGGACAGCACAGGCCTTCACCCTCCAGTTCTGRGAGGTGGCCACCTAGGGCACAGACCTCCCTCTCCCACCCACCTGCGTTTGAGCAGTTCAGGGATTTGCCAGGGCAGGGGTGGGGTTGCAGCCCCACCCCAGGGATTCCAGACTCCAGAGATGTTCCAGCAAGTGCCCTTCCAGTGGGTCTTCCATCCCTTCAGAGCCCCCCAGGTGAGCCACCAGTCTGAGCATTCAGGGTAGCTTTCTTCAGAGCAGTCTGGAAGGAGTTCTAGAGCCGAGGGGCTGTCAGGCAAGCAAGCGCCCTCCCTTTCCACTTCAGCACACTGTGCTCACCATCCAGTGCCTCCCGCTGGTGGAGAGGAATTGGTCCCTGAAGCGGCAACTGAAAATGCTGTTTATCCCAGGTGTTTGCCCTACCCCAAGTTTCTCGAGGGACCTGGGCCACCTCTGGTATGTCTTTGCCTGCTCAAGGCAAAGAGAAAAGAAGACAAGTGACATTCTTGTTGAGGACCCCTGGTGTCYATGTGGCAAGTGCCCTTCTGTCAGAACCTCAGTGCCCAGGCTGGCCTTCTTGCTCTGTGTCCAGGGGCTGGCTGTGTTCTAGAGTCTGGGTCCTGGAGACCCTGGTGGGAAATGCGCCTGTGTTTGCCTCACAGGGAAGTGAGTTGGGGGGCACTGTGAGGCAGGAGAAGCACTTTCCTTTGGCCATTGTCTCCACCTCCTTCCCTGCCTGCAATTTTGACAGCATCTCCAGGCGCACATCCTGGCCCTTGGCCCTCCCTTCCTTGATGACTGACGCCCACAAGGGCTGACATTCTAAGTAACCAGCATTGTACTTGACACTTGATTTCAGTAGCCGTAGAGACTGGGGGAGTGAGGGAGCTTAGCCCCTGTCCCAGCTGGGCACCTTAGAGTGTAACCAACTCCATAGCTTTGTTTCTGTGTGTTGCAAAGGGCAAGTCCCTAGGGTGCTCGAGACAAGGTCACCAGTTCCCTCACACAAGCGTCTTCATAACCAAGAAACCAAAGGTGACTGGCCAGGAGTGTCCTTGCCTTCTCTAGTTTCAACAATGTACAAATGTGGTTTAAAAACCATGTTCAATTCTTAACCTTTTGTTATCTGAATAAAGCAGTTTATTTCAACACAAGCTTTTTAAGTCCCTGATTAAGACTCCGGAGATGAGGGTTGTTGATCAGAGCTTGCTGGATCACCCCTCTTTTTTTTTTTTTTTTTTAAGAGGAGGGTGAGAGAGGAGAGAGAGAGAATTTTTTTAATATTTATTTTTTAGTTCTCGGCGGACACAACATCTTTGTTGGTATGTGGTGCTGAGGATCGAACCCGGGCCGCACACATGGCAGGCGAGCGCGCTACCGCTTGAGCCACATCCCCAGCCCCTGGATCACCCCTCTTTCAAGAGGTGACAGGGCCCTGAACAGGTGGGCAGGGAAGCACGTGTGTGCCTTCGGCATTGTCTGGGTCTCTGTCCTTTCTGATCCTGGAGGTGAGCAGAGTCTGTTCGCAGTGAAAGTGGGATGTAGTGAGGAGTGTCACTATCTCCCTGCCACCTGGCATGCCATAGTTAGCAGAGTCCTTTCACAAATGCTGTCTCATTGGATTTACTGGGAATATCAAAGCCAGACTATTGAGGGGAGAACATCTCTTTCCACCAGTAGTGCCAGACCTGCCACTCGGAGTTCCTAAGGGACCAGCTCTCAGAATGCCACTGCAGCCCTGCTCTGCAGGCCACACATCCTTCCTGGCAGTAAAGAGCAAAGGTTTTCTACAGAGGCTGAGGTACAACCGAGTCTTTTTGGTAGAGAAGAGTTGACTCTAWCTGAGGACATTTTTTTTTTTAAGACATTAAAACCACTGATGGAGCAGGGCATAGTGGTGCATGCCTGTAATCCTGGTGATTTGGGAGGCTGAGGCAGGAGGATTTTGAGTTCAAAGCCAGCTTAGCAACTTAGTGAGACCCTGTCTCCAAATAAAAATTAGAAAGGGCTGGGGGCGTGGCTCAGTGTTTCAATCCTTAGTTCAGAAAACAATAAAAACTCCGTAAAAAGAGCTCAGACATTAATCTAGTGACAAGGACATACTACATTTCAGTCCCTATCACCCTCTCTTCCTGTAGTCCCAGCAAGATCACCTCTGAGAGCAGGATTGTGTGGATGTTGCAGTGGGGGCCAAGTGTGGCTAAGTGTCTCAACACAGAGAAGTGTCCAGGATCTGAGAACACTGAAGTCCTGGAGCCAGGTGAGGCTATCTGGCTATCGCTTCCTCCTGTCATCACAGCATCTGTTCAGGGATGACCTCTGCTAGGGAGTCAGGGCTCTCACTTCAATAGCTCCTGAAGCAGCTGCTACTAGGAAGGCTGGGGAGCCTTCTATAGGCAAGTCAGAAAACGTTTCTATGAACAATGTCACGGAAGACGATATTTCCTTAGGAACACAGATGGACAGAGAAGTACCTGGCCCTTTGCTCTTGACTGCCAGGTTCAGTGAACCATACTAAATACCTGCCTAGGCCAACCTATCAGGAAATTTTCATGAGGGACCTTCTGTTTCAACCCTCAAGCTGGTTTCTATCATAAAACCCATCCCTCAGCTTCCTCCTCCACATAATGAGATGGAGTTTTGCAGAAAGAGCTCTTGTGTTCAGGGGCTTGTGAGGCAGAGTACTTCTGAGTGTAAGTTCCGTCTGTGGCTGCTAGACGGGAACCTCTGCAGGAGTCACCCTACAGCTCCCACCCAGACTGTCCCTGTCCCTTCAGGAGTAGCTGGTCTCAGGAATTCCTAGGTGTAATTCTCACAGGCTATCCAACTCCCATCATAGAGGGGAAATGGGGGAACAAAGTTCTGAGAGATGTGGATCTGCAGGCTGTAGCCGGGACAGCTTCTGAGGCTCCAGGAACCTGATGAGCTCTGTGAGGGAAGGCAGATGCCTGGCTAACTAACAGGTGGTCTGGGGCCTTTCTTGGGGATGCTGGGAATCCTTCACCCAAAGCACTTCTCCCTTTTAAAATCAAAAGCAGCAGAGCATGCTCTGTGAAAAGACAGCCAGCCTCACTCTTCCTAAACCCACAGGTGTGCACACACACCTGCGCCAGTCCTGAAGCTGACTTGTGCTCCCCACTGAAATGCCATCAGTCGGAATAGTGGGAGTAGGTTTTAAGAGAACTCCAACACCATGCAGGAGGAATGAAGTTTATTTCAATGCAATTTCAAGAGTTGTAGGAGCTGTATAAAATAGTGTCACATTTTTCCTCTTTGAGAGGTTCCCAAGAAAGATCAAGCTCAACTAGTGACAAAGACAGCTGAGCTAGGAGTCTTCGACCAGCATGATAGTTTTAACATAGTGTATCACTCCTCAACTTGATTAGAATCTCCTCCGAGGCTAGGATGGCATTTTATATCTAAGATCTTTGTGTACCACTCCCTTCCTACCTCTAACTTGCATGGATACTGAAATGATGGAGGGTGGAATTTTACACTCAAAATCTTTGTATCACTCACCTCCATCTCCGATAAATAAATGTTGAAATGATGGTTAAGAAGGTTCAACTACAGAATGGCGAAGGTGGATGTGACTGGTTCCTGCTTTGGGAAAACAGCTAGAACCACACATCACTGGCGGCGTCAGTATAAGACATTTCCCCTCTACTGTATCACAGCTCCTTTCCCGTGCTACGCAACCCCTGAAGCCAGAAAATATATGTGGCAGGCTGCTTGGGGAGCCGACTGCTGCTAGAGCGACCTCTACCAGGAGGTAGAGGTATCTCTACAGAAAATAGAGAGTGATAGACGCTCTTCATCTCCAAAGAGCCCAGGGGCAAAATCAGACTCACAGTATGAGAGCCCTACTATGCTAGGTGCTCTCCCCATGCTCACTTCACTTTGTTCCCCAGCAACTTCATAGGAATTGCCATCCCCACTCTATATTTGAGCGGACAGTAGCTGTGCGCGGAGTCGGGAACCTAAACACAAAGCCGCTGCTGGGTTTCCTAGACTGAAGCCAGGAGAGGGCGCCGTAACCCGATGAGTGTGGGCTGCCGGGGTCAGCCCTCGAGCCCACCGGGCCCCTCCGCATTCGCTGCCCGCCGCTGAGGGCCAGAGCACAGGCTGAGATCCTGCCGCCCCCTAACTGGGCTCAGCTCAGCCGCTCTCGTCTACTGCGGCTTCCAGGACCCCAGGTGCACATCCCGGTCCGCCGCCCCGGGAGTGGGGAGATCGTTGGCTGCAGCGCAAGATCGGGGTACAAAGCAGGGACGACCTCTGGGATGACCCACGGCGCCAGGGATCTTTGGGAACAAAAAAGGAGCGTGGGTCCCCAGTACACCTAGAGGGGGGCGTTTCTTTAGGTCCCGGGACCGTTCAGCCAATTAACAAATGGGGTCCTCGGAAGGACCGCCCTCTGCCGCTGAGTGACAGTGTAAAGGCTGCGTACCCACCAGGCCCGACCCCGAGATGCGCGTGCGCGGATCGTGCCCAGATGAGAGCCTAGACCCCCCTTGGGTCCCTCTGCGCATGCTCACTGCCCGCTGCCTGCAGTCAGCTGCCTGCTACCCGCTGTCCGGACCSGCGCAGCGTCTGTCTCGTCTCTCCCGCCAGCATCTCAGCCTGGGCATCCCGCGCCCACTATGACGACGCACTCCTTTGCCCTCCCAATCATCATCTTCACCACATTCTGGGGTCTCATCGGCCTCGCCGGACCCTGGTTCGTGCCGAAGGGACCCAACCGCGGGTAAGGAAGGCGCTCAAGGCTTGGCTGCCTACGCCCCCTCCCCTCTCCCATGCCTGGGCTCGCCCTCCACCCCGGGGCGACTTTTTTTTTTTTTCTTTTTGTTTTTTGTTTCCCTGCTGCAAGCCAGCTCCCACAGCCGGGGCACCCCTCTGTGACGCCTCCTCCAGGTCTCCGTATTCGGGCTGCAATCAGCTCAGGAACAGGCAGGAGGCCGGGGAGAGAGGGTAGATACTGAGGTGAAGAGCAAGCGACATTGTAGTTGCTGTCGTCCCCTCCTGACTGGCGGATGGACTATGATGCAATTTCTGAGCTTCTCCCCATCTCTGGGACCTTGAACAAATGTCAGGCCTCGGGTTTTTTTCATAGTAAAATGGGGATGACGATGATCCCTGCCTCATAAGGCTGCTAATACTTGAAATAATGCACTTAAAACAGCAGTGTATGGCACATTTTGTATACTGGATAATTGTAGCTGGTATTAATTTTAGAAGGTTCCTTAGCATATTTCTGCGCCATTCATCATTTGCTGCTTCATATTGTCCTCACAAATCCGTTGTCTGATCAGCACTACCCACCCAGTGCCAACCAGGACTGGCCCAAATTGCTAGGTAATATCGAAATAAGGGATCAGTACTAATTTCTCCAGCACCAATTGGAAGTGCTTTAGATCTGAGGTCGAAGGCCCAGCTTTGGATTAGTTTTAGCCTAAGCTAAAAGGCTGGAGGCTGCTTGGATAAATGAGTGTTGCCATTGTTCTTAAGAATCTGCCATGTCAGCCAGGCGTGATGGCGCACACCTGTAATCTCAGCAACTCTGGAGACTACCTCAGCAACTCTGGAGGCTGAGGGAGTATGGGGGTTCAAAGCCAATTTCATCAATTTAGCGAGGCCCTAAATTACTCAAGGAGACCCTGTCTCTAAATAAAATATTTTAAAAAGTGGGGGTGTGGCTCAGTTGAGAAAGTGCCCCTGGGCTCAATTTCTGATACAAAAAAAAAAAAAAAAAAATCCTCAGGTCTGCAGGGTCCCTCCACTTCACTTTGTAAACCATTTTAGTGTCATTCTTTCTGCCAAATTTGGTGGTTCTTTTTTGAGTCAACTGACATCTCTCCTGCTGCATTTTAAGCTTTTGTCTTCAGTGTTGATTAGATACAATGTTGCTAGTCCCTGTACTTTATCACAGTTCAGCCTCAAAAATGTCTCAAGTCTCCTTGCCTCTTGCTCTGATTTCTGCTCTATTACGTTTTTTTTTTTTCCCTGTCCAGTGAATTTTGCATCCCAGAGGCCACTCCACAATGTGCAGCTCTGGGCAATGACTGTTCTCAACATGTTTGCATTAAGATGGAGAAATCTTAGGTGATGGAAAAGGGAGATGAAGGCAAGTGCTAGCAACATGGCTTGGATATAGGCAAGGTTAGCCTTCCCATGACATTTGAATTTTTCATTTACATCTTGCAGTTCTTACCCTGATAGGACTCGGCCTTCTGTGTTCCTGTGGCATCAGAGAGGCCATTGGGAACAGAGCTGACACCAGGAGCTCTTTCTCTGGCCCCAGCCAGGCCTTCTGGAAGTGCTGATTTCACCCTTCTGACCTGTGTCCTCTTCTGTTGCAGAGTGATCATCACCATGCTGATGGCCACCGCTGTGTGTTGTTACCTCTTGTAAGTACTGCCCTCCTCAGCTTTGTCCTCCTGCTGTGCCCTAGCCTGCTCTTTTCTCTGCCTGGAAGTGAACCCTGCTTGAATGGCTGAATCTGTAACACAGAAGTGAAGGCTATGTGCAGGGGTCGTAAGATCAGATGAGGGCATAAGGGGAGTCATGGACTCCAGCTCTGGTGCTGGCTCTGCATGAATTTTGTAGCACCCACAAGCCAAGTTTTCCCACTTGTGGAATGAATGGGATTGGATCAGCTCAGTGGTATCTGGACCTGGCTGGTCACCCAAATGGATCCTTCAAACACAGCTTTCACATTCCACCCTGGATCCAGCATCGCAGACAGGTCTCCAGTTTGCTCTTGGGAATCTGTATTTTTTTTTAAGTATTTATTTTTTAGTTTTAGGTGGACACAATATCTTTATTTTATTTTTATGTGGTGCTGAGGATCTAACCCAGTGCCTCATGCATGCTAGGCAAGCACTCTACCTCGGAGCCACAACCCCAGCCCAGGAATCTGTATTTTTTAGTGAGTGGCCCCAGGCACTGGAATGCAGCTGGTTAGAAGCGGTAAGCAAGAACAACTCTTCATACTTGGGACAAGTACCCTGGAGGTTCAGAAAACCTAAGGATGCAAGTACCTGGGCACAGGTTGCTTTTTATTTGTTTCTGTTTTTTGTTTTTCTTTTAGCACTTTCCCTGGAAAAATCATCTATAAGTTCCTTTCTCTTATGTTGTTTGTTGGTTTGTTGGTCCTTCAGAATTTGGCAGAATGTCTTCATTTGCCCCAGGGAGGGCCTCAGAGGGGCTAAATTTGATGGATYAGAAACCAGAACATAAAGGATGATGGCCAGAAATTTGGGGAAATGGGATACACACAAGATATGGGATAATTATATTTATAATTATTTAATACCGAATCAGCGTATAGGCAAACAGGCCACAGATTAGTTTCACAGAGACATTTTAAGAAAATTCCACACCTAGAAATTATATTTACAAGACATAAAGTCTGATGATGCTGATATAAAGCAAGCAAGATTCCTGATGGCTTCCCAGGCATTAGGTGCTCCCAAGGCTGCTGTAGGGGACTCCGAGGTGCAGAAACAGGCAGAGCACCATTGATAGGGGCTCTGAGCCAGACACTCTCAAAATTTTCTGAGGCCTCTACTATGGACAAACAAAATGGGGACTTTTGCCCTAAGGGACAGGGCCAGACACCACCCAGATGCACAGCTGCTGTTGGGATGCCTTCTTGTCCCTGGCCTGAAGGATAGAAGTGGCTCAGCAGTGGGCAGGCACGAGGCTGTCTGCCCCGCAGTTTCTTCTGTCCTGGGATAGTTCCTCCCTCTTATTCCAGAAAGATGTGATTCTGGGCTGTGGGTGTAGCTCAGTGGTACAGCCTTTGCCCAGCATGTGTGAGGCCCTGGGTTCTGTCCCCAGCATCACAAAGAAACAAGGCCATTCTGGCATACCGCCCCTCCAGGCTGGCACTGCTCTCCTGCACCCCCCACCCCCGTGTATTGGACTGGGGAGTCCAAACCAGAGATGTTTGTGGACCCCCGTGGGAGTGGCTCCCAAAGACCCCTGAGGTTGCCTCACTGTTTCCCAGATCCCTGTTCCAGCCCTAATTCAGGGACCCTACAAATCTACAAAAAATCAAATCAAACCAAATCAAAACCCACAAACCCCAGACCAGTGCCCCTTGCCTGCTGCAGCTTGGGTAGCTCCCTGGGGCCCTGGGAGCATGTACAAGCTGTGCCACCTACTGTGTTGGYGACTTGCTCTCTAGGAGAAAAGAAAAGAATGGCCAAGACCTCCCTAGGTGTGCAGGGTAAATCCCTTCTGAGCCCATCCCCCACTCTGCTGTCCCCTGCAGCTGGCTCATAGCCATCCTGGCTCAGCTGAACCCCCTGTTTGGGCCCCAGCTGAAGAACGAGACCATCTGGTATGTGCGCTTCCTGTGGGAGTGATGGACCACCTTCCTGGCCCCAGGTACCAGGGTGTGGGTGTGGGGGCCCTGCAGGTGGGGAGGCAGGGAAGGCAGGTCGTGGACGAGTTCTCCTTTGGGTTCAGGCATTCATTTTTTCAGCAAAACACAAAGGCTGAGTGCCAGCTCCCTGCCACAGAGTGCCAGCAACCAAGGGAGCTGCAGGCTGGCCCCTACTCCATGTCCTTGGTGCTTCCTAGGGAGGCATATACCCCTGCAGCCTCTCCACACACAGCCTCGGGTGTGGGGCGGCCAGGTCAGGGGAGGTGGCGGGTGAGATGGAATCTGTTCAAGCGAGGTGAGGCTAGGTCCCAGGAATAATGAGACAGCCTCCTGGACAGAGGGACAGGACAAGAACAGGGCTGAGGATGCTCTCCAGGGAGCGGGGGTAGGGTCTCCACAGCAAGTAAGGTCTCCACAGTGACCCTTAATGTGATATTGCATTTCAGGTGCCCCAGCTCTCTGGATGACCCTGACTGGATGTCCCTGGAGACAATTCAACCCTATCCTCCCCGACAACTGTCCTGGTCCCTCTGCACTCCCTCCTGCCAGCACCTTGGGTCCATACCTCCCAGGCCCTCCAGGTCTAGGATGCCCCATCTTCCCAGACTGTGGGGGCCTGGGAAGGCTGAGCAGGGGCATCCTGCCCTGAAACTCCCACTGCCCTGGGGTTTTCTCCCCCTCCCAAGTGGATCCCAGCTGAGAAGCTGGTACTAGTGGGATCTGTCCCTTACGCATGGGGCTAAAGCCAGGACTCCATCCAGGCGGAGGATGGTGGCATCCCTGAGAGGGAGGGGCATCCAGACCCAGAGACTGGAGCCTGAGGTGGAGTCGGGCTGGGTTATCAGCTGTTTCCCTGTCTGCTGGGAAATGGAGGTCCCTGTTGGGTAGGCCAAGGCCTTTTCCAGCTCTGGTGGGAAATTCAGAATCATTCTTTAATTTTCTGACACATCAAGATGTGAAATTTTTGGAATTATACTTTGGGTCAAATTTGACACCCATATGGTCAGGATCCTTTGTGGCTGTGAAGTCACTTGATGGCTTTCTCAGGAGGCTCTGTCTCCTCAGAATGTTCTACTCTGCCTTCCTGCCCTACTGGGGCCTCCCGAGGCTCCACTGCAGCGTCCAAGTGACCTAGAGTTGGAACGAAGAGAGACAAGTCAAGGCCTGACTGGGGACCCCAAAACCAAACAGCAAAGGTCATGGCCACAAGCATGAATGGGCGGCTACGCCAGAAAGAACAGGGACACATGTCCTTAGCCCTGTGTCTAAGAGCTGACAATGACTTTGAGGTTGTGTACAAAACAAGGATTGGGGGTTTGCATAGCTGCAGGCTTTGCAGAGCTACCAAAGCTGGTGACCTTGATAGGAGGTTGCTGTTGCTTGTGAGGCATCTTGGACTGAGCACGAGATGTTTATCAATCAGACCTGTTGTTCCTGGAATCCAGGATCACTCTGAGCAGAGGAGACTAGAGAAAAATGGAGTCAGAGACTCCAAGTCTTTAATCCTGTTTTTAGCTATCCCTGGGAAGTTTGCAGGCAAAAGTGAAGAGTCTGTCCTTGTTACAGCAGTGTGGGTACTGGGCCTCCCCTGACTCTTGCCAGCCTCTGCCTCTTGCTGGGCTCTGTACTGGGGACAGTGAGAGACAGACATGCAGATAATATGGGTCAGACCAGGTGGGACCTGGGGACCCTCCAGCCAGTGCCCTCACTCCTCAGGAGAGAGCATGGGGACATCACACTCTGCCCTAACTTCCAGAGCTAGTCAGGACAAAGCTCACTCACCTTGCCTGGGCTTTTTGTTTTGTTTTACTTTTTGTCATTTTTGTTTTTCGTACTGGAGATTGAACCCCAGGAGCACTTAACCACTGAGCCACATCACCGACCCTATGTATCATTTTGAGACAGGTTCTCACTAAATTGCTTAGGGYTTTGCTAAGTTGCTGAGGTTGGCCTCAGCCTCCTGAGCCACAGGTATACACTACCATACCTAGCTGGCCTCACTTATTTATTGACTATTTATTTGGCATTTCTTCTTTTGTAGTGGCAGGAGAATATGAGTCCCTGGTGCTGGGTTTGCCAATCATTCAAGTTGGGGCCTCCCATGTACCACCCCTCAAAATCCCTTCGTCCCCTAACCCCTACAGCCTCCCTGTGAAACGGAGCATGGTCAGCATGACTTGTATTGAAAACCTGATTCTTGTCTAATAAAGAATTGTGATGTAAGATTACTGTTTGGTGGCTCAACCCCAGCCTTTGCCAAGTTTGCTGGCTGCCACRTCCTGCCCACCTGATTTCCCGTTCTTTGGCAGGTGGATCTGGGGAAATGTAAAGGGGCCTAGCTATTGCTGCCTTTGGAACTGCACTTTTGRAACATGGACACTGAGAACCACACTTCTGACACCTGGAGGAAAGCGGGCCCCTGCTCACAGGCCGGGGGAGGAGGAGTGCCTTGGCTGGTGGAGTGGAACTTGGCTCACTGCTCCCCTTGGCCCAGACGACCCGGCCAGAGCTGTGCAATAAAGCAGATCCCCAGTGTTTGTGCAGTGTGACCTGCTTCATCCCTAAGTATCCAAGRACTGGAATCACCTGCCCAGCTTTCTGCACGGGTGAGGAACAGAGAGGACTGAGTACTTCCCGACCAGGGCTTATAGCTTTGGGGATGTGCTGAAAGAAGTCCTGAGGGAGTAGGAGGAACTGGGGTGACATGAGGCGGAGCCAACTTCTGAGGCCTGTGGCTGGCAGAGGGGCTTAGATTGATCCTAGGGGCAATTGGGATCCAGAGGGTTTAAAGCAGGGAGGTGGCATGACCCCACCTGATTTCCAGAATTCTCTCTTCAGGATGCACAGTAGTTAGGARACGGAACATCTGATGACAAGGGCCATGTGCAAGTGGCAAGGACAGAAGAGTGGGTGGGAGCTGGACACAACATGCTGGCTGCGGGTGAGGGAGGAGGCAGGGTCTGACCTGCATGCACTGTGACCCCTGGTGACAGGATGCCAAGTCCCAAGCCAGCTGGGACAGCTTGGAGGTGAGCACGGAGCAGGAGCAGGCTGGAGAGGGGGTGTGGTGAGCTGAGGTCTTCCTTTGTCTCCTGCTGAGTTGAAACATCCAGTCAGTGGTTGGCGGTGGGCTGCAAGGTCAGGACACGTGCCAGGAGATGCTGGGTTGGAGTCCTGCGCTTAAAGTACCTCAAGGTCACCACGGGATGGGAGGGGCCCAGGAGGCCTCAAAAGCCCAGAATGGGACCTCCAGGGATGCCAGAGTTTATGGGGTGGGCCCATGGGGATGCTGGGAGAGGTCTGGAGCCAGCTGAGTAGGACGCCAAAGAATCCAGAGAAAGAGGATTCAAAGAGGAGGGGGTGGTCCTGAGTGTCACATGCCCCCATCGCCCTCCACAGCCAAGAAGTCAAAGCCAGCTGGCAGCTTTGGTGACAGGTGAAGTGAGCTGGGAGTGAGTGGGCAGATAAGGGGATAAAACACAAGTGACAGTGGGAGTGATGTGGCTGGGGACCCTCTTAAAGCTGGGTCTGGAGCTATACAAGGAAGGGACCTGGGTGTCAGCCTTGGGCCTGGGCACCCCTGCAGCTCCTGCCACTGTAGCCACTGTCACTCAGCCGGTCCCGGCCTGCTGCGGGCACAATGCTAGAACCTCAGGTCTGGGATGCCTCAGGGCTCTCGTGGCCCTTGGTTGGGGTGGGAGGGTGGGGGTGTCAAAACGGTTGTTTCCTGCACAAGGTTTCCGTGCTCTGGATTCGTGCCTTGTTGGTCAGAGGCCTAGAGCAAGGGTTGGCTGGAACGAACAGTAAATTCTTTGGCAGCCTTGAGCTTTCAGAAGGAACTGACATCAGGGACTTGGTGGACCCAGGGATGTGGCTTTGGGCTGCAAGAGGCCAGGCTGCCCTGCCTTTGGACATCATGTACCAAGGTGTCTTTTTATTCTAGATTTGAGCAAGGCCCTCGCCCACATGGGAGAGGCACCAGTAAACGTCAACCTGTCACAGATACTCAGGGAACCTACCTGAAGGAAAGATCTCTCCAAATGGGAAGTGATAGAGTGCAGGGTACCCTTGAGCCACACCCAGAAGCAGAGTGGGAAGCAGCCTTGGGSACCACTGAGAAAAGTAAGGCAGCGAAGCTTAAGCAAAGCTGCACGCTTTGCCTGTGGCCAGCAGAGGGCAGTGCCTGCGAGCAAGTGAAACCTCCAGAGCAGTGAGTCCAGTTCAGGCCGCTCTGGGGTGTATCAGGCTGTTGTTAGAGGTGGTAGTCTTAGAGTGCTGCCTTGGGCTGAGGGCAGCAATAATTCTCCAGGGAGTACCACACCCTGGATGAAACATCTTCCATCTTTCAAGGATGTTTAACAATAACAACGGCTGTGCACACCTATAATCCCAGCGACTCAGGAGGCTGAGGCAGGAGGATCTCAAGTTCAAAAAAGTTTTTACAAAACCAGCTTCAGCAAAAGCAAGGTGCTGAGCAACTCAGTGAGACCGACCCTGTCTCTAAATAAAATACGAAATAGGGCTGGGGTTGTGGCTCAGTGGCCCAGTGCCCCTGAGTTCGATCCCTGGTACCCAATAAATAAATAAATAAATGATAATATCAATGGCTAACATTTATCCAAGAGGTCCTCAGGGCCACACACTGCTTAGAGAAGCCAAGGGGAAAGAGCAGAGGTATCCTGAAATCTTATACTTCTCTGGTTCCAGACCCATTTCCCCTCATCAATCTCCTGTGGCTTTTTTTTTTTTTTTCTGTCTCAGCATTGCTAAGAGATTTGGCACATCCCAATCAATGACAGGGACACCCATCTGCCCACGTTCCCACTAGGGAGAGGCAGGTACTGGCCTAGCATGTGTGAGACCCTGGGTTCAATCCTCAGCACCACATAAAAATAAATGAATAAAATAAAGATATTGTGTCCAACTACAAGTAAAAAATAAATATTTAAAAAATAATAATAATAGAATCATCCAAAGCAAAACAACCCCTTGAGCACAGCCCTCCAGGGGTTTTGGTTGCTTTTTACAAAAACAGGGTCATTTCACAGAAACAGGATCATTGGTAATTCTGGAAATGTRTGGAGCTGGATGTGAAACCATGTGGGGGTGGGCCCCCCTGATTTTCTCCTCTTCTGTGTTCTGGAAGTGACCATCTATTTATAAACCCAGGGGTTTCCAGGAACAGAATCAGTTGGCAGCCACCACAGTTTTGCTGGACTTAAATAGCAGAAAAGTGAGGGCAGATAACCACAGTCCTGTGGGGATTCAGACCACACTCCAGTTAACAAGTCTCAATAAGAATCACTCACTGGGGGTATGGTGACCAAAGAATATGAGATTTCAGCAAAACAAAACAAATACATTCGAGAGATCTCACCTGTTGAGTAGAAAGTTGCTGAGAGCAGATTTCTAAATGTTGTCACCTCTAAATAATATGGCTTGATTTAGCCATTCCACAATGTATACATATTTGTTAAAACATCCCCCTGTACATGATAATTTATTTGTTAATTTAAAAATTAATAATAATAATAGAATCACCCAGGGGCTGGAGTTTTGGCTCAGGGGTAGAGTGCTGGCCTAGCATGTGTGAGGTCCTGGGTTCAATCCTCAGCACCACATAAAAATAAGTGAATAAAATAAAGATATTGTGTCCCAACTACAAGTAAAAAATAAATATATTTTTAAAAATAATAATAATAGAATCATCCAAAGCAAAACAACCCATGGTATGCTGGGACCAAAGCCAGGTCAATTGTGGCAGAAGCTCCCAGCATGGAGCAAACTTGCACTCTGAGACAGAGTTCTGTGTGGTTCTTTTGCAGGCAGACCCACACAGGTCCAGGGCCAACTGTGGAGTCATGCTGCAGATCAGTCTGCAGTAGTATTTCTCAGAGTGCAGGATGACCTAAATGCTTGAAGATGCAGGACCCTGGTCCCATCCCCATGCCACCCCCACCAAATGAGGGTCTAMCTGGTGGGATGCAGGCTGCATTTGGGGCATCGAACCCAGAGCCTCGTGCATGCCAGGCAAATACTCTGCCACTGAGCCACATCCCCAGCCCTCAGACTGCATTGTAAACCAGCTCCCAAGTGTCCTGGTGCTGAGATCCTCAAGGTCAGAGTTTTCTAACCTTGGCACCATTGACAGTTGGGGCTGGATAATTTTTTGGTTTGGGGAGGCCCAGGAGGGCTGTCCTGTGTATTAGAGATGTTTGCCCCAGATCTCTACCCAACAGAGACCAGTAGAGCCTCTCTCACTGCTTTCAGCTGTGACCCCTGTAATTTCTCCACTCTGAAATGTTTCCAGGGGAAGTTTCATGCACCAGCCCAGAATCTCTGAAAAAGAAGGTAGAAAAGCCCTGAGAGAAAGTGGGATCCTGAGCACCCCGAGTATCTATCACCTTTCTTCTGGCTCTCCCAGCAATGAGCTCTGAGAGAAGGAAGCACCCAAGTTTGGGG